TACGATCACATCAGTGTGATTTGAACATTTAAATCTGCGTTCGTGCTGCCGCTGACCTAAAGACAGCAGCTGTTTGTCATGAATGAAACCGCTTCACAGTCTTTTCAGCCTCACAGTATCATTATTTCTGTTACAAACATTGAAATCACAGAAGTACTGGGATAAAAGTTTATAGTTCGGATATAAACTCTGATGTGTATGGTAGCGATTCAAATAGAGTAAAACACCTTTTGAAAGTAATTTGACACTTCAAATGAAGATTTATCGATTACATTGTTACGCCAGTAGGTGGCTGTATTTGTCTTTGAATCATACAAGAGATTCGTTCAAGAATGCCGATTCGTCCAGTAATGAAACAAGTACATCTTGAGTGAGTCATTGAATCATTCATTCATCAATCACATGTGATTGTTTAGTCATCTAATGTTTTTTTTTTCAGAATCATGAGAGAACCACAACTTCTATTGGGGGAAAAAAAAAAAACGAAATTTATCCAGAATCATGCAGTTCTATTTTGCACACAAACCGCTCTTAAAGAGTCCAGTTTTTATGTAGCGTGTTGATTTTTGCTCATGGTATTCAGCTCCAGTAAATGGTTTGCAAAAATAAATGTTTGATATCATTATTTAATCACATTGGAATCGAAAAGTATCGGAATCGGAATCTATAAAATTCAAACGATACCCAACCCTATAGAGGACAGGACTTTTATTTTGACAGCGTCGTTTGATTGTCTTTTATTGGCAACAGCGAGCAGCACTGACCTCCTCAAACATGCTCTTCCTGAACTCCAGCTCCTCCGCTAGACTCTGGCAGCGGTTTTCCAGATCCACCCTCATTAGCGTCTCCGCCTCCAGCTGTTTCTTGGCCACGCCGTGAGCATCTTCAGCCTGAAACAGTGGACGAATGCCTCCGTTAGACGCTGTTCTAAAGCGAAGGAAGCTGAAATGTGACTTGAGGGACTTACTTTGGCCAGCTGAGCCTTCAGGTCGGCGAGTTCGGCGGAGAGGGAGTTGTTCTCGCTGAGGGCCGTGTTGAGAGCCGCCTCTTTCTTGTTGTATTGCGCTTCCAGTTCCTTGATTCGAGCCTGAGCCAAAGCCAGGTCTCCATCCTTCTTCTTATAGCTGGAAAACAAATTCAGACGGCCAATCTTTGGATTAATAAAGAGTCAAAACCAATCTTTAGGAACGGCTGTCAATCATGATGTTTTTGTTAACATCCATTAGACTTCTTGTTGTTTTCATATCAAAAATGTGTGATAAAGATGTTTTATTGATGCCAAAGACCCATAAAATAAGTTTTATTGAACAAGGAGATGTACTTGTTTATTACTATATTCTTAAAAGATGTATTTTCCTCATTAAACCACCAATTAAGTGTTAACTTTGACAGCTTTAACTGTACTAAGATATTCAGTATAACATATATTGATAAACAAGTTTTATAACAAAATAAAAAAAAAGATATGATATAAAACGTAAATGTATCACATAAAAATAAGCAATACTGATGTTATATAAATTATTATAATTAATGATATATAAAAATTACAAAAAAACAATAAAAGTTATTAAAATATAAAAATATAAACATTACAAGTAAAAAAATTATTAAAAACACAAAGGTTATAAAATGTAAATTATAATAAATAAAGAATACAAAAAATTTAAAATATTATGAACAATAAAAAGATAAATTTTAAATATAGATGATAAATATAAAGTACAAACAATACAACCCACATTAAAAAACATTATGTATAATATTGCTGTCATTATTTTATTAACATTGTAACAAATATGAACAGAAATATACATTTTAAATATAGACGATAAATATAAAATTTAAACGTAATACAAATCACATTATTAATAATACTAATAATAAATATATAAAACAATATCATTGTCATTTATTATTAAAATGAATATACTTTATAGCATTTTTATTGTAAGTTAGAATAATATTAATGTGGGCTGGGTTTCACATGCGTGCGTCTACACGCCTATCAGCGAACAAAACATTTAATCCCTCAACAAACTATTTCCTATATTTTTTCAGTTGCTACAACACAAGCTTTGCTAACATTTCATATGACGTAATTGAGATTCTCAATGCTGTACGAATAAAAAAAAATCCATTAAGTGCAGATAAAACTGGTGAAATCTGCGTGACAAATGCAGGTTGGTAGCATGATGTTACACACACTGCTGCGGTTAAAACAGTCGCCCACAATCGAGCACATAGCAACAGACTTCCTGTTTATTTGCGCTCATTAGCAACGAGATCAACCAAACACGACGTCTGAAGCAAATGCAGGCAAGTACAAACCGCGTAAAGTTAAACAGAAATCTCTGAGCTGCTGTTCTTCTGGTCGCATTATTCAAAGCAGCAGATGGAAGCGGATTTACGCCAGGTTAGTTAAGCCCAATTTATGTTTAAAGACCACTGACTTAAAGCCTTATGGGTAATTAAACTAAAGCAATAACCTCCAAGAAGCCGTGGTTTACAGTGAATTTATAACAGCTAAGGGGAGTTGTTAGGCACGACGCTTCACGGGGTTTATTGCTTTTATAAAACGGTTAATCCATATACGTAGTAAGGTTTCACAGAATAAAACC